TATTTGATTAATATAATCAGTCTTTTCTTTCCTATTGATGGATGGACAGCTGTTCGGTAGGATGTATTTAAACAAAACAAGAACACATGAAAGGCTATGTGGTTAAAAAGCAGTTGAAATTGTCTACACCAGGAAAGACACACGCCGAAGTTCGCTTATTATTGCCTTGTCAGTTTCCAAACATGTAGGTTTTTGGTCAGGTGTCCTGCACGCTACCACTTAGCCACTGCCACTTGAATCTTTAGATTTTGGAAATTAAACTATATATTTTATGTTGCTGACATAATTGGCACTTCTCAGTGTTTGGGGTGTTTTTTGTTTATAAACTGAAGAACTAACAAGTTGATAAATTTGATTCATTATCTTTGTAGCAAATTAATTACGGTTCTAAAATCAAATGGACATTGCGGCTGTAATTGATTTCTATACTTATAGGTTATAGGGCCAGCTGAATTTTGTTCTGTTACGTCTTTGTAACAATAACAAGTTTGTATACATTTGTCCTCTTTCTTGGGTGTCATATAATATTCTGTAGCATAAAGTTATGTTACCAGTTACTATTCCTGCTATTTATAGTTACTATTCCAGTTACTATTTAGCCGTGCTGGCTCAGTTTTGAGCCTAACGACTTTGCGACCAGAAATTTGCTGTTACTAATTTAGTCCAGATAGTGCAAACCATCTTGATGGGTGTCCTTTGGAAACTTACTTTGCTCTAATGTTCATGTGGGCCGTTAAACAATCAGTTGATCAAACAATGAATCAAAACTATGATGATCCGTTTGAATTCAAGTGTGTACCAAATAATTTTTAATATTGAATGTGTTAATGTGCCTCACATTTGCTAATATCAAAATGAAATTTAATGTAAAGATGGATCAACAGTCTATTGATGTATCACAATGATATAATATAAAAATGTTCTCGACAGAATTCACTATAATTACTAATTAATGATCTAGTCCAAGACGCATTAATCGGCAATGTAATTCCAGTGAATAATGTAAATAAATAAATCCACGCAAAGGAAACATTTAAAGCAACAATAAGACTGATTCCACTTTGGATGTTAAGGTAAGAACGAATAAACTGAAAAGATGACAACATTGATGCAAAAAGCTAAGACTCAATAATAAAATCATGATAAAGATCAGTCTCTTCTCTAACATGTACAAAGTTGTTGACAAGTTTATGAATTTCCAAGTGAAAAACTAATATTATGCAGAGAGAAGTAAACATGTTTACATTCGTTACGAATGGACTGAGTATAAAATGTATAATCATGCAGAAATATTACTTATATATTATGTTGTTTACAAAATAAATGACACCAATCATGTAGAACATTATTTGGAATTTTGGATTAAAATCAATTGTAAAATATAGATACACATAATATATTCATGCAGAAAAACAAACAAAAAAAATACACAACAATATATAAATACTGCTTATATTAGGCCCTTATCTACGGCAAAGTTACTTGAATATATGCTACACTAGTAAATCAATGTATTGCATAAAAGTCGATTATTCGAATGAATTGTGTTTGTAGTGTCGTGTATGCTATTTCCTTCCAATGCTTGAAGGGATTAAAACAAACACATATTTAGAATAAAATAAAATTTAAACTAGATAAATAACTAATTATTATACATATTTAATTAAGAATTTTCTATCGACATAGCTATGGGCTAGATTGAACTACAAAACGATTCTATTCACTTTTGCAGGTGACTTTTGAAGATGTCTTCGGTGAGCCAGAAGGGGTACGTAGCATTGATTGCGTATGGAGTACCAGTTATGCATGTTTCAACTGTGGCAAAAATTGCATGTACATATTCCTGACAACCCTCTGTGGTCTCTGCATTGGTCTAGAATGGGGATGTACATTCGCCTGCACCTCGTTCCAACACATCTGGTGTCTGACACCATGCTTGAGGGAATTCTCCATTGCTTGTGGCTTCCTCCAGAAGTGTTTTGGAATCATCCTTAATTGCAGTTTGGCCCCAATTTGTGAAGCGTGTGGCATGTTTTTCACCAAGATCCAAGTTCATAAGAAATAATAAAAAAGAAATAAACGATTCATACTCCAAAATTATATAAACTGAGTTCTGATACATTCCTATTATCGGAAAAATAGAAAGATTAAATACAAAATTTATGATATATTTTGAACTATATGGTTAATATATTCTATAAAGCTGGAGCTGGATACCAATCTTTAGGTTTATTCGGAAACAATCTACTGGAATTTCTATATATGATAATGGGCTGCAAGTATAACAACCCTCTAGTGAACCATGCATAAGTAGTATGTGTTTGTGATAATAGCTTTATTATTATTATCATATATATATATATATATATATATATATATATATATATATATATATATATATATATATATATATATATATATAACTATGGAACATATACATAATAAATGTCCCTCCATGGATGATAAGCAGAAATTTTTCAGGAATATAAGAGGAATTAAAGCAGGAAATAGATCTAAGATCATACATAACATTATCAATATACAGGTATCTTCCATTTTCGGAATTTATGTAAACCAGTTTCAAATAACGGCAAAACCATTAGAAACTATTAATATCGGTCTATGGTAAATTATCTCTATTTCTCTCATGCGACATCGAGCGTGAAGATGAAGGGAAACATAACTCTATCATGGTTACGTAGTTGCAAATAATTGTATTTCTGAGCAGTGGATGCCGTTACGTTATAACTAATAATTCAAACAATCATTTCATTTAGCGATAAATCTAACGATACAAATTGCAGGTAAATTGACCTACTTCTAATAATAATCGATGATCTGAATCCTTGTAAAAGAAAACTCTATCATTGTACTGCTAGTATTGTTTGCAGGTTTCTAGAAGCAACCTTTAAAAAGAATCGATTTAAAAATTACTGTACAAGCAGACGTAAGACGGATTAATTTTTTCCTTCATTATATAGGATAGAATGGAGATACATATGTGGCAGCCGTTTTCTAGTCTATGTGAGGTACACACCTTTCACATTACCGTTTACTTGATATTTCTCAACAGCTTGCAAAAATGTATTGGTGATGTCTGCATATAAAAATGGAGACGACTAGTATCGTACAAGAAAAGGTCTATCAAAACACAGTCCTTTATTATGAACGTCTGTTGCCAGACAGATATAGGAAATTGTATCGTTCTTACTATGAAAGGTGCCATTAACTGTTGAACCTCTAAAATTCCTAATTTTTAGGCTCGCAGAACAAGAAATATGAAATTCGAGAAATAAATACAACTTAAATCAAAGCAAATATATATCGGGGTTTTAAGTTTTGTAACAATGTTAATGGTTACTAATTCAATATTCAATAGATAAAACTTGTGAATTTAAATCGTTGTTACGAGTTCTAGAAGGCCACTGTGGGCATTAGAATCACTTCTGGTTTATCTTTTTAACTTTGAAAACTTTTTACATCGGTTAGAACATACTTTACATATTTGCTCTCCTTAACCAGATGCATTTCTTAATAAACTCACTATCAACAGTTTAACAAAGGGTGGAGAGATTCAATCAAGATAGAGGGTAAACTCAAGTGTTGCCTACACTGACATTGATTAACATTATTGCAACACAATTCTTCGGTCATACGACTGATGAAGACTCAGTTGTCTAATCTAGAAATTATCAGTAATTATAAGTATGTCATTCGTTTAGTATTGCGAAATCGAATGTATATTAAATAAGTATAACAAAGGTGATTGAAACTTTTATACAAAGCACCGATACAGTGTACGATTCAATAACCCCAAAGTAATGGCTTTTTCCAAGTAAGTATTTGAGCACTTTGTAATTGTAAGGAATAGTTTTAAATAAAGTGCACCTCTCAAATTATAAGTTAACACAACTAAAAATGATTCATCATCCCGTTATTAAAATAGAACCCATTACTTCTCTATCTTGACCGTATTATACAAACAGTTACCTGACCCATGACCCAAAGATGGAATTCATTTTGAATGTCAATTGCATAAAATTTTGTCAACAAGTTCACTTTCAGAATATTCTAAGGTCGTAACCAAGGCTTGGTCCTGAGCTCAAATTTAACTAAACATTTTCTTTTAAAAAAATGACAATAGGCTGATAGGCCAGAAGTCTACCCTCAATCACAAAGATCAAGCAAACAATGTAAATTAAATAAAATAACAATAGTGGTACTGAATATTACTGAATCAAAAATGGACGACGAATATGGTGTATATCTTATTGCAAAACTTTCATCAAATCGTGATGGAGCAACCGCGCATGGACCGCTTCTCCGAGTCTGGAGGTTGATATATTGAGAGCATACTTATTGCTGCAGACCAGTTGTCTCGAAGCTTTGGTACCTCTCTGTGAGAAAAAGAATAATGTCTTCCCATCTAACGTTACCATCGATCGCAGTATCCGGGTCGCATGACAAACCGTTAAATTTTGCTACTGCCCGTGAAACAGCTCTATAGCTGTTTTAATACTATACAAAGGGAATTTTGAGCAATATGTATCCTGGTTATAATCAAATGCACGAGTAGAAATCTCGATATAAACATGTTTCTAATAGTCGACATCTTGTATGTGAGGCAGCGGGTGAACTAAACTGGGTATGTTGAAGTAACCACTACAAATTTACATTTATAGCATGAAGGCTCCAAATTTATGAGATTTTGAGTTTTGACTTAGATCTTCGTCAGTCCGATATAATACCTGTCTTTGTTTTTAATAACTGTAATAGTTTTCCATATTGGCACAAAACAGATCGAGTTTTTAAAGAGTGGAAGAATTATTAAATGATTTTAAGGTAACAATCGAGAGATCAAGTGAATTTGTTTACGTGATAAAATATAATAAAATTATCATCAAAGATGATATTAAAGACAGGATTAAACGTATATTTGATTATTAGAACCATCCAGAATTATATCAAGAAGTGCTTAAGAAAAAAAATGCAGTTTTACCGCTTCGGTGGCCTAATTGGTTAGAGCGTCCTCCTCAGATGTGGAAGGTCACAGGTTCAAATCCTTGTTGAATCATACCAAAAACTTATATTAATGATACTATCAGCTGCCTCATTTGGCATTCAGCATTAAGAGGTTTGTGTTAAGACTGGTCGGCTTTGTGTCAGAATAATATGACTACATGACGCTCTATGTATGTGGAATGATGTCCCAGTGCTTGACATCACTATACACTGCCACACTGCAGACATCGTCGCGATATGACTGAAAAATTCTTAAAGCTACATTGAAAACCTAAATCACACACACACACACGCACACACATACCGATTACATCATACTATAGTAACATTCCAATTGGCAGCAACAATGCTGAAAGTGAAATTACAATACGAAAAAGGGATATACTACATATTTAATATTGATACAAAATACACCTTTGCACACTTGTAAATTTGCAGTTCAAATTTAGAAACTTTACAATGCCAATCCATATGGACTCAACCAACACAGATATATAATTTATAGAAAACAAAGTTAATATTTAAACAGCAAATGTTCATTTAGTATATAAAGAAACTGTTTTAGATTCAACCATTTAAAAGAAAATTTTGACTAAAATCTTAAATCATTCATATTTTTAGAACGATTGAGGACATTTTGTAAATTGTTGACAATAAAATTCTTGATGGACCTCTTGCTGATTTACTGATAGCACCAACAAAAACTTTAGACAACTATTATCTTAGTGTTGTATTTTAGATAGCTTTGGTAAAATCCTGACAGTCTGTTTTCACAAATAACAATTAAATGTGTGAATAAACTAAAGTGATTAAATTAAACGTAAAAATTATCAGTGGATTTTCTTATGGACGACCTTCTTGTATCCATTACAATATTCTCCTGCTGTTGTCTTTCGCCTTTTCATCAAAATACTCTTTGTTTTCTTAGCTATTCTTCCTGTACAATCCCTTATAACAAAATTAAAAGAAGATTAATCTGAGGTTAGCAAAGAACATGGAAAGCTAACTGCACAAAAATAATAAATCCTCTTACTCTTAAAGTTAGAAAAAAACATGAAAAACGTTCACAATATTTGAAACTAAGCCACATCAGAGCGTTAGAAGACTAAGCAAAACGCGTCTGCAAATTCAAAAGATGAAATCGTATCACGAGAAAGAAATGAAAAAATATCAAACACCAGAGTTTATAAATAAACAATAAGCAAACAAATATATGCATGCATACATACATACATACATGCATGCATGCATGCATGCATCCATACATACATACATACATACATACATACATACATACATACATACATACATACATACATACATACATACATACATACATACATACATACATACATACATACATACATACATACATACATACATACATACATGATTGCATACATAGTTTCGTACATACATACATACATACATACATACATACATACATACATACATACATACATACATACATACATACATACATACATACATACATACATACATACATACATACATACATACATACATACATACATACATACATACATACATACATACATACATACATACATATATGCTTGCATACATAGTTTCGTACATACATACATACATACATACATACATACATACATACATACATACATACATGCATGCATGCATGCATGCATGCATGCATGCATGCATGCATGCATGCATGCATGCATGCATGCATACATACATACATACATACATACATACATACATACATACATACATACATACATACATACATACATACATACATACATACATACATACATACATACATACATACATACATACATACATACATACATGATTGAACATACATACATACATACATACATACATACATACATACATACATACATACATACATACATACATACATACATACATACATACATACATACATACATACATACATACATACATACATACATACATACATACATACATACATACATTCATACATATATGCTTGCATACATAGTTTCGTACATACATACATACATACATACATACATACATACATACATACATACATACATGCATGCATGCATGCATGCATGCATGCATGCATGCATGCATGCATGCATGCATACATACATACATACATACATACATACATACATACATACATACATACATACATACATACATACATACATACATACATACATACATACATACATACATACATACATACATACATACATACATACATACATGATTGAACATACATACATACATACATACATACATACATACATACATACATACATACATACATACATACATACATACATACATACATACATACATACATACATACATACATACATACATACATACATACATATATGCTTGCATACATAGTTTCGTACATACATACATACATACATACATACATACATACATACATACATACATACATACATACATACATACATACATACATACATACATACATACATACATACATACATACATACATACATACATACATACATACATACATACATACATACATACATGTTTGAACATACATACATACATACATACATACATACATACATACATACATACATACATACATACATACATACATACATACATACATACATACATACATACATACAGACATACATACATACATACATACATACATACATACATACATACATACATACATACATACATACATACATACATACATACATACATACATACATACATACATACATACATACATACATACATACATACATACATACATACATACATACATACATTCATACATATATGCTTGCATACATAGTTTCGTACATACATACATACATACATACATACATACATACATACATACATACATACATACATACATACATACATACATACATACATACATACATACATACATACATACATACATACATACATACATACATACATACATACATACATACATACATACATACATACATGATTGAACATACATACATACATACATACATACATACATACATACATACATACATACATGCATGCATGCATGCATGCATGCATGCATGCATGCATGCATGCATGCATGCATGCATGCATGCATACATACATACATACATACATACATACATACATACATACATACATACATACATACATACATACATACATACATACATACATACATACATACATACATACATACATACATACATACATACATACATTCATACATATATGCTTGCATACATAGTTTCGTACATACATACATACATACATACATACATACATACATACATACATACATACATACATACATACATACATACATACATACATACATACATACATACATACATACATACATACATACATACATACATACAGACGGACGGACGGACGGAAGGACGGACGGAAGGACGGACATATATAATACATCCATAGACATACATACAGAGAAACCGACAAAATACATAGACACGTTTATTGGTAAACATACATAAATATGAATTTCCTACTTCCAAATTGTTTTTAGTTACAGAGTTAACCTACGCATAAAGACACGCATCAATCACGACTAAACTCTACCATTTTGTTTATGTTTGGTTTTTAAAAATCTAAACAACATTTTTCATAACAAAGTAAACATTTTTTTAGAAAATATATTGATACGTGTTTTATTATGGAATTGTAGCTAATACTAAGTAAAAGAAGTTTCCGATCTATTTTGACAACGGAATCTAAATTAATTTAATTTGAAACTTTCTCATTTAACATTGTGCAGGTGCCAAAAATTCCAAAGTAGATGTAAGAGTTATTTATATTTTATATTTCGGTTCGATCAGTAACATACACTTCAAGACCCTGCAGTCAGCCTAAGTTTCGAATATAACCTTAGATAGATGCACAGTAAAGAACACAATATAAGTGAACCATATGATCTATGTCGTAAGAATTATTTAGCCATCAACTTTCAGACATATCAGGGGTCTATATCAAACGTTTATAATTGAGTATTAATGAAAAGTCATGTTTACCTATTATTACTATAAAGGTTAACTTGTGTCACTGACAGAAGGAAATAAATGTAACATATATAGAGATCAAATAATCAACCGAAACCTTAATTAAAGAAAATGAACGTAGTTCTAACTTTGTATGAATCGATGCTAAGGCATCAAAACATATACGAGAAGTGTGCAAAGGTAATCGAACACTTTCATTTCTATCAGATAAGGATAATTATTTCCTTGAGAATTATATGAACTAGTTTGAAATAATTATGGGAATCTCTTTGCATCCAGTGGTAATGCAAGAAAGGTGTTTTAATGCTATGTAATTTAGACTGTGCATACGTTTCCTCAATGAAAATGGATGGATGCATTTTATGTTTTTTCTCGCTACATTTCTGTTTTTCCTTTGGGATTATTAGATTCATTCAAATATGCGCATAAAATTATGAAAATATAACCAAATTTTTCATTAATGACATAACAGTGTTAAGGTATTAAAATTCGTACATAAGATGGGGAAAATAAAACTGAACTTGTGAGAGTATTTTATTTTTCTATCATTTCTTAAATAGTTTAAGAGTTTGATACATATATGCATTTAATCAAAGCTTCGCGTTTAACATGTAATACAATTTCCTTGCAACCGGTGTTTTTTATTTAATTACAAATGAAAAAGCACCCCTTCTTGCATTAATTGCAGAAAAAGTTAGTTGCAAAAGGAAGGAGGAGAAAACATGGTTAAAATTTGTATGAGTATTAAAAAGTTTAGCATTTGCTTGCCGTCCCATCAAATTTCTGAAACATTTCCTTCAGTGTTCTCGATTTTTAAAACTATCCACTCATTACTATCATAATTATCAATAGTGACGCATTTCCTTGATTTAGGTACGAGTAGACCCACTTGAATCCTTAGACAAATTTATACGGATATTTGCCAAGAATTTACCACAGGATTCAAAGACCGGATCAACAAGCGATCGCAAGCACAAGACCCAAATATAAGCCATCGGTTTTA